TTTCTTCCATCTGACATTTAACAATTAATGCCTGATAGCCCAAGCATGGACAAATTTGCATGTCAGTGCCATAGCTCAGTGTACCATGACAACACCACCCTGGAGAAACACAACACAAAACCAGCAGAAACAAAGTCTACTAATGGACCTGGCCTCTACTATGCACAGAGAACTTTGACAGCCTGCTAACAGTTTCTGTTGGGTGGAAATGACTGCTTTTGGTTAGCTGATTGTATCAACTTTCTTCTCAGATTCCTCATCTAATTAAGTGAGTTATTCACCTGCATCAGTAACCACAGATTGAAGCAGGATATTTTCATTAACAGTCAGTATCTATTGAAAAAATAATAAATACAAAAATGCAGAAAAAACAGTAACAAAACCACCTGCTGTTTGAGTACAACTTTTATAAACCCTTGAAAGCAAAGCAAATAAACCTATATTGGAAATAATTCTGGGAGTGGATGTCACAGGAAAAGTTGTTCTGCCAGACTTGAAAACAGTGACACTCTTCATCTACTTTTGATATGACACATTCTACAGTAAATTAATGTGCATCCTAAGAGGTATTTAGTCTTGCAAACATCCTCTCAAGAATTCTGCCTTTCATCCTCACCCACATGGGGCTTTTGGCATATATTCAGGTTTCTGAAAATAAAAAAAAATCAAGTAAATTATGCATGGAGCACCTACCATTGTCACTGTTTCCTTCAGATGGGATACTGTAGCTAAAGTTGTCCCATGTTTGTGCCTGTGTAAGTGTGTTGAAGGAGACAGGAGGAAGACTGAGGGATGGGGCTGCTGGAGGGGAGTGATACCCAGTCCAACCATGGTGGGGTGAGGACCAGAGTGGGGATAAAAGGGGGCAGCAGCATTTCATATATGGCATGAGGGTTGTATGGGCATGACAAAGATGTAATTCAAAGGTGATTAATACAAAATGTGTAATTTTTGAGAAAAGAATGAAAGATGGTGCAGAGTAAAAAGAATGAAAAGTTACATGTTAGTAGTTGCAAACCATCCATTGTATGTGCAGTTAAGGCTGTTAAGCTTAGCAAGACCATTGTAAACAGAGCATTTCACACAACTTGTTTACAACCAACTTTCAAGAAAAAGTACCCATAGATTTTAAATTATAGCCTGAGAAAAACCTTGACTGTGAGTCAGAAGGTAAATATATCAGCTGTGATATATTTGTCACAGTTTGGTGAATAAGAATTTTGGTATTTTTTATAATGATGTAAAGTAATAACACCTCCCCACAGACAAAAAAAATTTACATATTCATGTGAAAATATTACTACATTACAACTTCCTAGATGATTTTGATAAGTAGCAACTATCTGATCCCTTGGATTATCATTCTGTTGAAATATGTTCTGTAAGTACATGTACTACAGATGTCTTCCTTTTGTTTTAACTCATTTAATAGCACACACAGCAATACTTCTATTTCTTGCTGACACCCCCAGCAATTAGTCCAGTTCTACAATGGACCCACCACTCTGGGGAAGTTCTGGTCCCCTACAACAGTTACAGACTTTCCAGGGAGAAGAACAGACGTAGAATACCCCCAAAGGGTGACCCTGAGTTTGCACCACAAGCCTTGGTCAACCTGCACTGTAAGCAGTCTTCTAAAAAACACAAGTTCAGCAATGATCCCACCATAACTCCTCTGCACTTCTGACTCTTGTCTTGACTGTGACAAAGATTTCCACACAAGCTTCCCTAAACCCTCCATTCTACAGTGTTTCAGTACTGGACACTAACATCCTTAAAAAAATCTCTTCCCTACCTGTCTTTCAAAAGCTTCCCACTGGTTTCCTCTTTCCTGACACAGAATTTAAATCCCTTCTTCTCTGCCTTTCACAATGATGTCACAATCCTTAGTGAGCTTTTCCTGTTCCTTGCCACTTCTGCCACAAAAAAAACCTGTGAACTCTCTCATTTCTTGGTTTCCTACATATATTTCCATGTTTTATCTACTGAATCCCACACACAGGGGAAAATCATGCTCCTTAAACTGAACATTCTACACTACCTCCACTCTAAATGCTAAACCATAATCCTAAATCAATTTAAAATTACTGTGTAGATCAAAAAATGGCTAAAACCATTTAATATTAGAAGAAAGTCCAAGGTAAAGTTTCAGTAAGCACAGAAAGTCCCTATTTTAAAATGTTCAAAAATAATCATTGTAAAGAACTTAATCACATAGACTTTCTCCTGCCCACAATTCTGGAATCTGTATTAATTTGATGATAATTCAGACAGTGTCATATAAAACTTGACCTTGAACTTCTCTTCACACTCAGCTGGCCAAGAGCTCTCTCTATTCAGCCATGCCTTTTTCCACAACCAGTTTGCTGCTTCTGGCTCTTGGGACACCAGATCAGCTGAACCTGTGAACCAGCAAAACTGAACTCTGAGTAGAGGTTACAGAATTCAGATTTATGGCAAAGGAAAATCAATCTTTAGTTATGCTGGCAATCAGGATTCTCATTACTTCCCAAAGCAGACAGATAATGCAGTTAGGGAAGAAAACAAATGGAAGGCATAAAATCCAGAGATGATAAAAACAGTAACTAGCACTCAAAAGAGTGAAAAATGCTGTCAGGTTCTAATGATCATTATGTGTTCCACCCAACTTGAAAGATAGTGAGGGAAGCATCTCCACAGATACCAACATTGTGCTTCAGATCCTCTGCAAGTTACCAAAAATGAAGACACTTGACTCAAAAGGAAGATTCTGCTGAGTAAACCATTGTAAGGGAATCACTTCTCCCTTCACAATACAAATCTCTATGTGATTTTGAGTGTTGTCAGTGCTTCTTTTAGCCTCTGAAGGTACAAGTTTTTTGCTTGTCTGTGTTGCTGTCACCTTCTTCAGCAGAAGGTATGAAACAGTGAACTCAAAATGGTACAGAACAAAAGCAAAAAACATTCTTGAATACTGAAAGATGTATAAGATGATGTTCAGGCTCTAGGTCTGGCACATTAAAGATATTGTAGCAAAATCTATGCAACGTTGTTCTGGCAATTAGTATCACACTGATCATTTTATCAGTTAATGAATCGAGCACAAATGGTTTGATTTTATTAACTACTGGGAGTGATTCATTTTCACACAGCAAAAGCACTTCCCAAGAGCAAAACTATGGTTCTACGAAAACTGATCATTATGGGTCCTTTTCAATATTAATTTTTTAAGGTTTTCCAAATTAATGTGAATTTGAGAAACGCATACTCTGATTAAAACACAGGAGGAAATAGTTTTAAAAACTAAAAAATCCTCTCTTTTTACCTTCTATCTAAACATCTGACCCTTGAAAAGATCCTGTCGAGAAGTCAAAACACATTTGTTACCTTTCAAAACATTTTCTTTGGGTACCATGTTAACCATTAGATATGGATTTTCCCAATGTTTTTCCTAGCTTTAAAAAGAAGGAATAAAAGGACTTTCAGTCCTGAGCAGATATCAGTATGTACCAACACAGACATTTAAGCCACTGTGGTTTATTCTCTGGAAGCACTTCCAATTGTGTACATAGTTGAAAAATCTGGAATCCTTACCAGAAGTCTAGTTTATTTTCATGTTTCCAAGAGACATAAATCATTATAAAGGGGTTGGGAGGAGGAGAATCCAAGCCAAAAAATTCAAATAGAAATCAACATTCATTTAAAACGCAGGAAAATAAACACAGTGAAAATAAACACTCAAATATGAAGAAGTTCAATGAAAAAAGCTGGAAAGCTTTCCTAGATCACAGAATAGACCCCTAGACTAGCTCACCTCTAGGGCAATAAAGCAGTATATCATTAACAAGTATAAATTCAGACAGTGATACAGTGGTGAAAACTTGCAGAAAACTTGCAAGAAGATTTAAAGGAAATGCAGTGAAGAAAGTAGAGAGATGGAAGCTAACCACATTTAATGGGGAAAACATGCAGGATTCATGAGCACACTGGTATTTTCAGCCATGTTGTGCTCTGAGAATTATTATTATGTGTTGGCAAAACAAATTTTAATACTAATTTCAGGGTGTGGGAGCAGGAAAGGAAACAATATGCAGCTTTCCTACCCCTTTGCAAGGTTTCACTTTGTTAGTGTGCTACACAACCAATGTACTGTCTTTTAGCTCAAGTTGGACCTAAAGTTTTACTACTGTCAAATTCCTCCATCTTACCAGGGTATGAATGTAAGGTGACAGGACTGACACTGGATGTGATGAAGTGAAAGACTGTGCAGTAACAGCCCTAGCTTGGTGACTCTGTGGTGTATGTGATGGAAAGGAAAATAAATTCAGATTATCAAGACTTCTGCAAGCCACAGAAGTTCAACAAACTAGGAAACACAACTGAATGGAGCTGTCAAACTGCAGCACAACTGCCTGAGAAATTTAAAATATCCTCTTCATGAAATAAGGTTGGTTCAATATAGTTTTTTTTGCCTTTTAAAACTTGAAAAAAATAAAAATCTATGGGTACAATTCAAATGTGAAACTGCTGCCATTATTGCCAACATGTTTTGTTAGGGAAGCTACAAGCTTGTAGTGGTTTATCCCAGCATTTGATTCAAAGCATTTGTGGTGAGTGCAAGAAACCAGAATTAGTCTTAGGATGCACTATCAGTGAACATCAATGAAGCAAAAAATCTTATTTCAATTAGTACATCAGCACAGATGATATATATGTATACATGTGTAAAATATATCTATCTATATATACACATTTTTTTAAAAAACATACACACAATTTTATAAAACACTTAATTTATTAATATGGGATGAAAACTGATCCATATATAATGTGTCAAATACACACTTGTTACAAATTCAATCTTGATTCAAACCTACAGCCTTAAAATGTTCTAATCTTTTAACTGTTGTTCAGAAAATTTTTCACCACTGCCTTCTTAAGGGAAAAAGAAAACACAGACATCCATACAGAGGTGAAAAATAAAGTAGACATAAATGGGTTAAATTTCTTTCCCTCATTACCTGATCGTGGCTTCAGGCCAAAAGGGATTGTGGTGTTTGTAGTAGGAGACATTGTTGGACTTCTATCCTTATTCTGTGTAATTCAAGAACATAAAGCTAAGTAAGAGCAACATCAACAATAGCAAAATTGACTATATAAAATGACTATAAAAAGTTATCAATGCTGCAGGCTACAACTGTTTCACCATAGTCACAATATAGCTTCAAACCAATGATAATCTCCCTTTTTTACAGCACCCTATTTCTATGCTTAAAAAAATATGAGTTTCTGACCAAAGACTGCACAGTATTTCCCCCAGCTAGAAAAAAAGCTAAATTATTTCTCAGTTTTCTCCTGTGTAATCACTTGGTTCCATCAAAACTCACATTTCTGTGGCACAGTGCATCAAGAAAAATGAAGATATGGTTTTTTCCTTATCTAAGTTTGTTCCTTTCACAGAATTAATTACCATTCTGCATGGTATTTTCAATGCAACCCTGAATTTCTGCCTAAAAAGCAGGAAAAAGGAAGTTAAGCATAAACTTCCCCTGAGGATTGCCCTTGACCCAGAACCACACGAGCAGTTGCAGCAAGAAGAAGGGAGGAGCAGCATATGGGGGAAGGTGAGGCATAATTATTATCCCCAGTGGTAACATGGAAAGTTCTAGAACTAAACTCCATCATGGGAATCTTTTTATAATAATATTCCCCAGGGAGCCAGGGACTACAGGAGTCCCATCACCAAGAGTGGCAGAAGGTGGCTGCACGCTCAGGAATTCACAGATGCTCACAGACAGAGGGGTGCAGAGGAAGAATCCCCATTTCTGCACAGAAAATATGAAGAGAGGGAAAAAAAAAAAATCTCCCTAAGGAGCTCCCCAGAGTTTCCTCTTTTTGGCTGGCTGAGATTTGCACTGTGAAAGCAATAGGATCAATAAAATCAGACTCCTCTCTGAAAACTAATCAAGGACAACCCAACTGTGCAAAATTAAATTGCACAGAAATCAACAGAAGCTCTTGTGGAGCAAGGAAGAACAGAGGAAAAAAAGAAAATGTGGGAGAAGAAAATAAGAAAAAATTAAATGTTTTATACCAAACTACATAACTCAGAAACAAGGTTATCCAAAATATATTGTCACACCTCAGCAAATCCATAGGCCAAATAAACCACAGAATCATTACTGAGGAGCTCAGTCACATTTTCTGTGAGATTCAATTTTCTGTTTCATTTATTACATGAACATTCAGACAAAACAGAAGAGACAAACAAATGACATTAGCACCTTACCTCATTGTGAGACATTTGTCCACTTGTATTCCAAACAATTAGATCATTCTGGGTGTTTGGAAAGGAAAAAAAAAGACCCTTTCAGTAACTATTTTTTGTGATACACCACAGGATATTTTACACACAGTACTCAGATACACTTTTTTTTTTTACTGAAATAATTCATTTTCATGAACTCTAGATACTTTTATTGCTAGTTGAACAACATTTAAAGAAACCTTGTAGAAATTATTCACAGGTATTTCCCATTCATTTTTTAATTTTCAACCCTCAGTGATTACTGCATTTATAAAATTTTAATGTTTATTGGTTCAAAAGCAATATGCAAATTTTGTTTCACAGATTTTGTAATCAAACTCTCAGCAGGAGTTTAATATGCAAATACAGATTTTTAATATAGATTTGAAGAGGGAAGAACTCTGTGATTCATTTTCTAATTGCAATATAACATACCTTTTGTTACCAGCTCTGCTATAGTTAAATGGAAACATGTAAATCATGTTAATAAATATGAACTATAATCATTAATTCTGCATCAGTCATAACTCAGCCAGCAGAAACACAGCTGGTATAAGTAAAAACAAACTATAATTCAATTCAAAATCATTTCCATAGGGCCATTTTTTTTTTTCAATCAATCAAAAATGGAAAGAAATATAAAAGACAGCACTTGGAACACTACCTGTGTCTACGTTGGAGGTTTGATCTCTCTCACAGCATGCAGGCCACTAATCAGAATTATCAATTTATGCTAAATTGAGTTAATTTAGTAACACAAGTGCTTCCTGTAGGACACAGAATGTAGCACGAATGAAAACTGGCTCTCCCAAGGTGTGTTTCCACTTCATGGAACATGCCTAGTGCTTTCTCCTGCATAACACACTCCAGACCAGGCCCTCTGTGTGTGCTTAGAAAGATTTATTTCTGCTTTTTAAAAGGTTGAGTGTCCTTAGACACTGCATCAAAATACAAAGACCACACACATTTTGAGACTGAATTAGCCTGATCTGTTAATCTCAGCCATGGAGTAACAACTGCTCCAAATAAAGTGTGTTAACATACAAGATAACAAAGGAGATGAACTAAATTGTTTTGAATTGGAGATTTTAAGGAAAAAAAGATATAAAATTAAGACTAACAAAGTCACAAAGATATCATAGAAATATTTGATGTGAATAATGGTTATACATAGGGGTATTTGAAAAGCATCAAGATAAACCATATTCCACCTAGGTCTGGATAAGACCATATTAAGGTACTACCAACACAGACAGAACATTAGGTAATTGTGATCTCAGAATCTTCTTGCAAGACAGTCACAAAAATCCCAATGGGACTAAATCCACTATTATCTCCACACAGTAATTGATAGAACACAATGTTCTGTTCCAAATATTTCCATATTTATTGTATTTAGACCCCTCCATACCTGGTTTAATGACCATTTTTCACCCTGGTCACAAGTTCTCACTTCAGGCTTTGCTTTCTCCATAATCAAATCCCTCCTCCTCTGAAATTCTAGTTCCTCTTCAGCATCTTCTCTCTGTAAGATAATTAAAACTTTAGACTGTGTATCACTGGAAATAAAACTATAGCTTTTTTTTGCATAACATTGCCTCAGAGGTATTTCTTACAAACACTGGGTTGGAAAGCAAACAGAGAAGTGAGCAGATGCTATATACTTGCAGCTCCAGTGCTAACAGGTAGATAAACTAAATCTAAACCAAGTGCTTTGTAAAGAATACTGGTTTACCACTCACCATACAGATCAAATAATAAGCAGCAGATAGCACACAGTAAAACTCCAAATCCTGCTTTATCTGAATTTTATATATACTAGTGATAGTGCTCTGGCAAAGGATTAATTTTTAGTCTACAAAATACTCTGGAATTATCCTTTCTGAATATGTTGTTTTCCTACACCAGGACAGGGAGCTAAGGGGGTGGGATGGTAGAGGAGTGTGCACAGCAGAGCTAGGAACTGGAACACACAGAAGTTGCACATGGGGTGGGGTGGGATACTAAGATGAAAAAGTAACTGATAAACCCAGAAAAAAAAATATATATACACATATAAGAAAATTAAAACAATTATTAAGAATTAGTTTTGTCCTCCAGATTACTCCATGTTTCCCTTTGCTACCTGGTAGATGAATAATTGATGAATTTTTTGGGGCTCATTTCTTGTCTTCAACCCCCCAACAGTTTGTAATAACACACTCATGAACGTACCTGACCAAGGGAAGACATCTCCATCTGCATTTGACTGCTATGTATAAAGATAAACAAATGCAAATATGTAATTCATTGTGTAGAAACTTGAATATGATGAATCTAACAAAGGCAATTTTTTTTTTCTAAAAAGAGGTAGATAAACACACTTTACTGTAGACTCCTGAATTGCTAAAGCTGTTGCAGGTTCCATGGGATACAGATTCACACCACTGCTCTCTGAAATATCCATGCTTAATCTGCAAGGTTTGAAATAAAAACATTGCACTGGGGGTACAGCTTTGGTCACCATTCTGTTTTAGTATTTAATTCCAAACAAATGGGTACACCAAATACTTTCAGAGTCATGGTTTTAACCTGCTTAGTGTTCTCTCTTAACAGCATTTTGAAATGCCTCCTGGTGCTTCACTGTCACCTATTTGGTCAAAGCAACATGAATGCTTTCATTTGTAAAATGTCACCCTAAGCAGAGGCTTGTATCAAAACCAAAGGATCTGTTTACTATCAACAACCATGCCATTATCTAGAAGGTATCTGGGGTTTCTATATCCAACCTCTAGCACCCTGTAATCCAAAAAGAAGCCACAGCCCTGGTTAAATATTAAAATTGAATTTCCAGTGCATGAAAATAAAGCAGTGCAATGTTAAATTCACAGCAGACAATGATCTGAAAGAAAGCAGTGAGTATAGGAAAGGGAATAAAAATAGGAATCTGAAGCAAATGTGGAAATCCTGAAAAAGGCTGAGTCTGAAATCTTGTTCCTCTCCAGAACTGAAATGCTGCTTACATGCACACAGGGTGTGCAGATCACTAGGACAAGAGTAACTAGACAAGTGTTTGACAAGTTCAATAGTCATGTCTGCTGGTGGAAATAGCCCCAGTGCTCTACACTGAACTCTAGTCAGTATGTGTTAGGTGTGTCAGCATCACTACTATTTCAGCCCCTCCAGGGGTCTGTCTAACTCCTAAATGACCTTCAGTGTGAGAGGAGGGTAATTCTGGCTGGAATGAGTTATTTCAGCTAGGTTATCTTGAGTCAGTGTTCAAGTTATGCTGATGCACAAAGGAAAACTCTTTAGGGAAAGTTCTCTTTTTTTGACATGCTGTAGGTTTAGGCTAAAAGCACAAGAAAGCTTTTGTGTATCTTAAACTAAGGAGCAATGGAAACAATTCAATTCCTTTGTGCATCTGGACAAAGACACAAAAACTATTCAGCATGAAACCCAACATTTTCTCATGCTACTTTATACCATGCAAGTCTATAACAAACTGCCATATAATCCAGTAATTATAAAAGAAATGATGAGGCACCTATGGCCCAGAGGATTCAAAGTCTACAGCATCATTTGGCAAGTATTGGGCACCAAGGTGTATCTTGCTGGCTAAGACTGGATGTTAACACACAGGAGATGTACATTGAAAAGCCAATATAGTGCCCAGTAAGTTAAAAGTAAATACCCATATTTTAAGGTTAGAAAGTGTATCCACAAAATAAACAACCAAACAACCCACACCACAAAAAAAACCCCACCCTAATGCTATGGAAAAAAGCAGTAGAAAAATACAGACATGTATGGCATAATTAGCCATTTTTAAAAGCTTTTTCAAATTTACTACAGGGTTACTAATGAAAGTAATTCTGAACATGCACAGAGAAACAGGTTAATTTTCTGTATCTGACTGTCTTTTTTAATTTAATAAGAAAAAATAAATATGCAGGAAAAACTGAAGCAATATTTACAACATTCAAAATTTATAAGGCTAACAAATGGATTTTAATATTGCTTTTTTTTCCAAACCAGACTTTTCCCTTTTTCAAAATAAAGCCAGACAATTGTCTTTCTGGAAATACTAACAGGAGTGAATTTCTGTCCTAAAATGTACAAGGGTCTTCAAGGTGAACAAGTGGTATCAAACCAGGGGTTTAAACTAATGAACAGTGTAGCTTCAAGAACAAAAGGGAGGAAGGAGAAATAAGGCTAGAAGTGACAAAGAGGTTTCTAGTCTTCAGAGAAATGAAGCTATAAAGCAGCTCCCTTATAGAAGTCATGAAAAATGAGTGACTTGGTTTTGAAATGAACTTAATTTCTGAAGGTGATTACACAAAGCAAAGCACCAGCAAGCAGCTGGGCAGAACTACCCACACTACCCTAGTCACTCCTTTTCAGTAGGAGAAGCATTTATCCTCTTTTAAATACTTATTCATTTGTTTATTGAGTCATTTCACCCCACTTTAGCCACTTAAACCAGACACCTAAACTATAAAACCTTGTCTTCTGTAGTCAGGGGAAAGCTAAAGAACTTTCTTTTTAGCTCTCTCTTTTTCCTTTTGATTTTAGAGTGAGACTACAGAATCTCCACCACTAATTCAGGCACATCCTTTATGTGCTCCACTGAGCTGGGATGGATCTGGCCCAAAAGACCTTCTCCATTCCCACAAACACACCAAGTATGAGTAAGCAGAGGAGAGTTTTCAGTAGAAAATGGGACAATCCTAGCAAAAAATTCAGAAAAACCACACTAGTGGTCACAAGATGAATGGTTAAGGGGTGCCTCCACCTCTAAATTTAGGTTTCTTTTATTCATTAAATTAATTTATTGGGAATCTTGTTTAGATGCTCAGAGAGACAACCCAAGTTTCCTTCTTCTATATCTAAACACCCCCAGAACACCATCACTATGCTAACAAAGCACTTCATAACCTCAGAGAACTTGCAATTACCAATTAAAAAGTACTCTGAAGTCATTCACAAAAATCTTATATACATTATATTAACACATCAGCTATTGTAAGCATACCTGTTGGGATCCTGTAACAAATCTACTGCTTCTCTTAGTTGTTCTATCATTGCTATATCAATAGTTTGTTCTTCTGATAAATTTATTCTATAACAGAAAACAAAATGATTCAAAAAAAAGAGGTACAACAGCAATTATCTAGGGGATTCTCAATTTCAGTTTGTGAGTTTTAAGCTTCCAGCTGGCATGCAAACATTACAGAGGGGAAAAAACACCCTCTGTGCTCACTAGTATAGACTGAATTTATGGAAAAGGTTTCATCTGAAAAAATTCCTCACCACATTGCCCTTAAAGCTCCTCAACCTCATACATACCTATCAAATGTGATGAACTAAAGCTTTTAGCATTCAATTAAACAGATTGACTTCTACAACTGAACATTTGTTTAACAATATTTGACTCTTACTAACTGCACTCATCATAAGTATTGTTTTAACATAAGTACTAAATAAATGATTCTTTCACTGGACCAGCATGCTGCCTTTTGCTTTCCAACATTTGTAATTCTTTTGGGGGTTTAGAAATATACTCTCCTGTTCATTCTGCCAATAAGGCTCCTTCAGAAACTATTTATTCTTCCCTGACTCCTGTTTTGGTTTTTAAATCATACAGGACTCCACTGTTCTGATGAGTTCCTAGTTCACAGTGCACTCTCATGTTAAATCCCCTTTTCTTAGGCACTCGCCTCATCAACTGATGTCCCCTTTGCTTCAGGGTTCAAATTATGAAAAAAGAAGAAAAAAGAAGCTGAGGGATTTCATCCAATGAACTCTTTTACATGTATATTAAATTTAGAACTTACAAGTTTTGATAAAATCCCTTTTTACCAATGCCATTAACAGACTAAATATCAAAATACCTCATTAAAAAGCTTGCATTATACATCAGAAAAAAAATATTACAGCATTATTGGTGTATACAAATTAATTAGTTGAAGTGCAAGATCTATTCAGCAATAATTTGCAAAACATTGCACACACAGAGTGCAAGGTGGTATTTTTGTCAAGCCTCTGATCTACAGAACTCTTGACCAATAAGAAAATGCCAGTTCTGGTCAATGCAATCCAATGGTACAGCTAATTACTTATGGATACATAGTTAATACTTACATGTCTGTTTGCCATTGTGTGTCCTCTTCTATCCTCAGCAGCTCATCACACTCTGCTGCTCTGCTCTGTAAGCAGACAAAGTGATATTGAGAACTGAACTTTGCTGCTAAGCAGGCAGATAAATCTTGCTTTCAGACTCAGAGCTGACCTAATTAATGGCACAGCTCTGGGTGACCAGCTGAAGGAATCCAAAACTGCTCCTCTCCTTACTCTACCCCCTTTAAACACACTTGTTACAAGATCTTCTATTCACTGTTCAGATTTTATTGAGGTCAACAGCTCCTGCCCTCCTTTAATGGTAAAAAGCAAGTCAAGCAGCATGAGAATTCCTTATTCCATGTCCCAGATTTCATTTGTGCCTTCCTGGTGTATGCAATGTTTCAATTAAACACGACCCTACCTCTCTTATGTGCTCTCCCTGCCACAGCCAGATTTGTTTACAGAGGAAGGAAACTACAAATATTCACACACTAGCATTTATGTAATTAATCTAGAATTATTAACAGAATTCTTACTTCACCATTTTAACAGCCATGAATCATCTTTTAAAAAAAAAAACAAATCAGAACAAAAACTGTGTGCAAGAACCTGCATCAATCAGCCAGTTCCTGTGGATTCAATACAGGCATTAATGAGAGCTCCCACTGTCCCACCTATAACTATGAAGCTCATTAGATAACTTCACTCTCTCTTGCATGCTTTCTTTTGGTGCTTTGCAATTTTCTTTCCTCTTTCCCCTCAGACAGGCAGGAACTCTGGAGCAGTTCAGCTGCCAGTGAAGGCAGAAGTTCTCTGAATGGATGTGCATTTGTACTAGTAGAGAATGAACAGCAGAAAACAGAGAGGCTTATCCTCCTCTGTGTCATGTGTTTGGCACATCAGCTGCATCACCCTGTACCAATAAATGCCAACCAGCTCTGCCAGATGTGTCACTGAAGAGTGTACCAGCTTCTCCAATGTCTCCCAAAGATGGCCCATTTCCCAGTGCAAGCCCCCAGTAGAATGAATAAAGCCATTCTTTCTTCCTTTTCTTCTTTTTACAGGAATAAATCTGTGATTTTTCCACTAAAAAGGGCACGTATCATAAGAGGACAAAAATGCAGGACTTATTCTAGGAGGTGATCCTCAATCTCTGGGCCTATCTATATATATAAGATAAATAAAGCCATATAAATCAGGACTAACATTTGAAAAATTACAAAATCCTCCAAACCTAAGCTTCAATTTTGCACTGCAAGTTCTACTGATTTTTTGTACTGTTTCATTATCCAGAATTTCTATTTTAGTAGACCCCCCCTCTCCCAAAAGGCCTTCTAGTACAGGAGTAAATATAACCCAAAGAACACAACAGACTCAGAAATCTGCAAAAGCAGAAAAATGCCCTGAGTTCAAAATCCTCAGAATAAAATGGATGTACTACCTGGTCAAGTCACCAGCTGCTGATCTGAAATGCCACAATGTTAAGAACATATCAAAACTAAAAGCAATTAAATTTCTCTGGCAACATCCTTACACTGAAATTCAAGACACTAACCCATATTTTACTGAACTTTGCCTGCAACACATTATTTTAGATAATATTACTTATTATGATAGTCTTCAGATGGTACACTACAGAAAATCAAGATTATAATGTAAGAACAAGGAAAAGAAATATGAAGTATGCACATAATATAATGTACAGTCAGCTTCAGATGTGGGTAGCCCTTTGTCAGGCAGGATGAATGTATTCTACCCCACTTTACCTTCTTCATCCACCTCAAATGTCTTCACTTGCTAAAAATTTGTATGCAGGTAACCTACAATCATTTATTAACATTTTAACTATCTCAAAATACTGCTAATGGTAACGTTTTTAACCATCTAAAAAAAATCCCTCAATCTCTTTTAGTAAGATACCTGTAATGTCCTAAACATCCAACAACTATAAATAACTCTTCCTAACCTAACTCTCACAGATACTAGAAACAGAGTTAGGAGTAAATTTGCCCCCTAGAGTAATTTTATTCACTTTAAACCTACTTGCTTATTTTTGCATTCTGTCTTTTATGACAATTAACATCAATTGTGGTCTCTAATGTCTGCATTTTGTAATTACTACACATGAAAAGTAGTGAAGATATTTCCCCCCACTTAAAATTGTCATGAACTTGCCTTAATGTAGCTCATAAATTCAGTAGTAAGAGTATCTGGTTCATCAAACTGGTTTCCTGATTCTCTTGAGTTATCATTGACAATCAAGTGAGAAGATCCTGGATGGAATTCCACTAAAGAACAACAATAAAAAGATAGCAGAATCATTTCTTGTTACTTAACATAATCTAGGTTTCTTAAGTTATATAGCTCAAACTCAAAGCAGAGCATAAACTTCAAACCAGTATAATACTTTCAACAAGTATTTTACAAGTATTTACTTATAAATACTTTAACAAGTATTTATTTAACAAGAAACCCCACAACAACCATTCATAGAGTCTGTTTTGAACTAAAGTTTGTATGTCTTGCCAGGCTTGGCACAAAACCACAGCTGGACAGCTGCAGAGCATTTTAAGACATTCAGAAGTCTCAGCCAGTGCCTTGCAAACACTCAGACTCTCAGCAGAACTGAGTGATCCAGAGGCTATGCCAACTGCTTGTGATATTCACTGCTTCAGGGGTAGGAGGCAGTCAGAATTTTCCCCTCTGAAGTGGTCTGGATCCTATAACTTACCCCTTCCAGTTTGCTAAAACACACTGTAGGATGGAATGTTCTTACTGTATCACTCCATATTCTACTAAATTCTGATGAGTATCTCAACTGAAGTTCATTTAATCCAGTATGCAACACTGGAGAAAGGTTCATCTCCTATTTATGTGGTTTCTATAGGCAACCCCAACTCCATCCTGCCATTTAAACTGACTCACTTTTCTTCCCACAGTCAGAACCAGAATTTATCAACTCATGATGCAAGTGGAACAAGTTCATTGGAATTCCTAAGGAAAATGACTGTAAGGAGCCCACTTCAGTGTATTTTGAAGTGTTCCAAGTAGCTCACTTCTTTCCTTTTCACATGATTGCACATGCATGCTCAAAGTCTTTTGGGTAGGTAGGCATTTATTACAAAAAAATAAAGCCAAAGGCACATAGGGTACTGAAAACACCTGCTGCTCAACTGGAATATCAGCAAGAAAAATCAGCTTAATAAGAGATTTATCTAATGCAAAATGAAACACTGAAAAATCCCAGGAAAAACAGCAGCAAATAAAACAGATCACATTTAAAGATGAGGTTTCTAGGCTCCTGAAAGATTGATGCTTGCTGGGCTGTGATTTTTGTTGACTGAATTTATAGTCTTATACATGGAATTATCAACAGAAATTCCCTGCATTTAACTGCCACTGTGTTTACATTCCAACCTTTCCTTGAGTGAGCATGGTGACCTGAATCTTCCTTCAGAACCTGATCTTCTTCCATAATGTCTGACATTGGAACATTAAAGCTGATGGTATCTTCATCAGATGGCTAAGAAGAAATAAGAGAAACACTGGTTTCAGCTCAAACAAAAAGTGATAAAAAAGTACATATATAAAAATACATAAAAATAAAAAAGCACAGTATAAATTCATTCAAACAACCAAGGTTACAGTGAAGTTTTCTTCTCTTTCTTGGAGGCTCTCTCTCATGTGACATATGAGCACTAAATTTAGTTATTCTAGATCAAAGACTCATGTTTTGTTAATTTTGTAATTATCATTTGAAAATATTACACTAAAATAGTCTCATACACATTATTACAAATTCTGAGCACTAAAAAGGTGAATTTTTTTTTCCCAGCAGAGTAACACACAGCTTTCTGGAAAATGTTTTGGAGTGGTAGTGTTAAAAAAGCCTCAGGAGATTCAATTTGGAAACAGAAAATCATTTGTTTCACAGGCTGTGTCTCACTTTCAGGGCCTACAGAATTCTGCAACTGATTTTCCAGGTGTTTCCTGCCAGTACACTATGAAATAGAAACTATCCAAAGCAGCCTACTACAATACAAAAGTATTGCTCCTTCATAGGTGAAATACTATCTCTCACTTCATCCACAGTTTTATTTTTATTCAGCTAGTAACAGAAAAAATTAGACATAAGAATCAAAATAACTGAAATTATTCAACCACTCAATTCAGACGATGCATTTTGAAGAAAATCTTCACATACATTGTTGGTACTAACACATCCCTCTTCTGGGCAACAAAGCAGGGACACTACCTGGGTCTTAACAAGCACCCTCTTGTTCTAATGCATTTTAACTAAGGCAAAAAAACAAGGCCAAAGGGAGATGGGAAATGTTCCTAAACGCTGAGCTACGAGTGCACCTCCTTAAAGCACAATTTGCCTTCAAGGTGTCTGATCAATTTTACAGCAACACCACAAAGTATCTTTCACTTGAGATGCCCAAGATGACTACAGCTCTGAAGAACTGACTCTACCAACAAGCCAGACTGACACAGATAAATTGTGCATCTAACCAAGTAAGAAGAAAGAAAAAGCAATTCTTCCCCAGGAGAGTGGGGAGAGCCTGGGATGGGTTGCCCAGGGAGGGGGTTGAGGCCCCATCCCTGGGGGTCTTGAAGGCCAGGCTGGAGGAGGCTCTGGGCAGCCTGATCTAGTGGGAGGTGTCCCTGCTCATGGCAGGGGGGTTGGAACTGGGGGATCCTTGGGGTCCCTTCCAGCCCTGACAGATTCTGATCTGTTTTAGCAGAGGACTCAGGAGTGTTGGCTTGATGGTTGGACTTGGAGCTCTCTTCCTACCTAAAGGATTCTATGATTCTATGTACTCCCTCCTACATGTATGGACCCAAAGCTTATAGCAAACTTCCTAAAAAAATTTCATTAGCATTCAAAGAAGTGATTTAGGTTAATAGTTTTAAGCTATGCAAATGCAAAATGACACTGTGGCATTTTCTGAAGAGAGTTCCAACTCAACAGCCACTACCCTTCAGACTGAACTGTAGTTTGGTTCTATATGTCTGATGTATTTATAAAAACCCCTCCAAAATGTGTTTCAATGATCACTTTATGACTGATCATTTCATGTTCACCTAATATTTAGTGTGTGGATTTCTGATTCTAATTAACAACATATGTGCATCTGTCCTCCCAACATGCTAATATTTCATGGGCAATCCTCATGTGTAATCCAGGTATTTAAGGTCACACCAGAAGGAAAAGTGAGGGGTAAATTTATTACCAAATATATTTGGGATTACAGATTTCAGCATCTATTTTCTCCTTAACAAGAGAGCAGGAGTCAGGTGGGGAGGTAGTGAATAAATAGTTCTCATTTATAAAGCTTTTGTGCTAATAAAACTGTTTTGGTTCACTGTTGGTTGTCTTTAATTTTTGCAGCATTCCAATTGCTGCATTTTGTTTACAGGGAAGATGATCTGTTTTGTTAAAGTTTTATTTATAGCTAAGGAGGAAATTCTGGAATAACAGTTCCATTAGCACTCTAACTCAGCTTCAGGAAGTGTAAGAATGGCAAAAGTAAGCTTCTCTGAAGGGACTGCATGCTCTTACAACTAGAGGGAAACCATTATAAGTCTGGCTAGAAATCACAGGAACTCTGCTTCATTTCCATCTAGCAAGAAACTTGCCCAAAATACTATGAAAAAAAAAAAAACCACAACTCTGTAGGGATTTGCAAGTGGTTTTATATTTATAAGACCAATCAGTGTGTAAGTAGATTAATTTTCAATTTGCTCTTTAGTGACTACAAATTCAGTACCTAGGCTTGATTCTTTATACATTTGTTTCAAAAGCAACAAAATCTCCTTAAAGCAGGAGAGAAACACTATGGAACCAGTGTAAGATTATTTTAAGCAGCAAGGTCATTCTTTTACCATGACCTGAATATTTCCCATTAGGTCAGACGACGAATCCTATTATTTGCACGTTTCAGAATGATCATCACAGAGTTTACTTATTTAGCAAGAAATTGATTCCAAAGATGTGGTTATACAGTTTTGAGGGCTAAAAATTGTTACCCAACTGAAAATACAGTCAAAATATGGGTGCTGGAAGGGGAACTAGACACAAAATTCAGCCAACTCACCTCTGTTGCTGATAAACGTTTATCGCCGTTATCACTCCCAACGCCTGAATCAGAGTCCTTTTTACTGGGGTAGATGTCATCAATGCTAGAGGTCAATTAAAAGAAAAATATCAATAAGAAGCTATTACAGTGTTTAACATTAGAATTCAGTTTGGGTTGCACATAAATCAAAGCAAAATTTCAAGCAGTCTTGAGAGTGAAGTAGCCTAGTATGGTTAAAAACTACAACTCTGCAGTATGGGGATAGTAAAATAGATCAAAAATGGCTGATTAGCCTAAAGATTAACAAAACCAATATAAATAATCTGCTATAAAGCTTGGTTTGTCTATACAGTAGGTAAAAATGTTTAGTTACTAGCTAAGTAGGACAGAAGTCCAACTGAAGTCATCTAGCCATGGGATAAGCAACTAAACTAGTTGAACTCAAACTGGAGTCCACTGATTTAACTGCAACCATTGCTGCATTAAAACAAATTACCTGATATCTCCCTGAGGCTTTAAGTAGCTATTAACACAGAAACCTCCTTTTGCTGCTTTAAAATAGACTTGGAAATTTAGGTTTTTCAGAAAATTACCCCAATGGCAACTGCTCTCTCTTCTAGTTTCATTACCTACTGTGACCTCTACTCATTTTCAAGTACACTATTAGATGCAATAACTTTCATCTAACTTTTTTAAAAATATGTTTCATAATCCCCTCATTTGCAAAACTGAAAGTTACAATCCTGAATTCAGACTGACACAGCCATTTAAAAAAAATAACTTTATTGGACTTCACATGAATAACATATCTGATTAATCCCAATCTTAAATTATGTCCTATCAGTAAACAGGATTTTGTGTAGAAACTGCCTATGGAAATCATAAATAGGGTTATGTTCTTTCTTTAGAAGTGTAAAGTGATTCTCTAACACAAAAATTTGGTAATTATTATGTGATAAAGCATTAGGCTGTTAGTTCCCAACTGGTACCTACTGTGTGCTATCCCCTTACCCTGAAATGAATGCTCCTAGATGACCAAACTGTCACACAGAAAACCAGTAGGTGTTTCCCAAACTGAAAACTTGCTCTTCATCCTGGATTCTTCCCACCTTTGGTGTTTATCTGACAGAAATTCAAAGGTGTCTCCAAACACACATGGAGGAAAAAAATATGACTGCAACCTTATCTAGATGACTTGAGATTCCCCCAGGATGTTAGCAGCAACATTTCTATTTTTCTTTACATCAGCACTTTGTTACTATTGAGTATTTCTCCCCAAAAATAAGGCACTGCTCTCCTTTCTCCCATCAGTTATATTTCACTTCCCATAGTAGCAAAGAAAAATGCTAGATAAAAGCTGATTCCCAACTGGTATGGAGATCCTTTGCTGGATGGATAAGCCTCTGGATGAAAAAAAAAAGCTTAAACCAAATATGTGACAAATGTGTCAAACATGTAAGTCACAAAACAGCACAAGAAATTGAAACTTATTATTTAATGTGTTAACAGATTTACACAAAAGCTCCAACACCTCATCTGAATTATTTTCAGTATATTCCTGTAGGCTACTAGTTAAGAGGTTAGATTTAAATTTAGATTAACTTCTAAGCTCTTTCCTAATGTGTTGCTGACTTTAATCAGAACTGATTGTTAAAAATACCACGTTGTAAAGAGAAATTTCACTGGAATAAAATAAATCAGAAGAACTCTCTGTGCAGAAAAGAACACTCTAAATAACACCTAATCAAATGGAACTCTGGAAGCTAAAGATATAAATGTATTTATTACACTTTAAGTGTTACATGAAGAAAATAAGTGACATTTTTATACATACCTCTCTTCCACAGGCTGTGGCAAATGCTGTTGTTCTATGGCATTAAGATATAGTGAATCTGCTGTTTTAATCTGACAGGCCTGTACAGTCAGATATTTGAATATATGCACCTTACCCTTTGTACAAATCTGTTAGACAAGAAAGAAGTAATTAAGTTCATAGGTAAAATTAAAGAAATAATTTATTCCAAATGTCACTTAGCATAAAACTCCCTGAAAAACAGCTTGTACTGTCAGAATAGGTATCACAAAGGGAAATAGATTTTATTCCCTTTTTTTTATGATTACTAAGAACTACTTCAATTAACCAATCAGTTATTTGTGTGTACTAGTGTAAATAGCTTTAGCAAGAAAATAATACATTTTACTTTAAAAAATCCAAATGAGCCATTCACTCAAAAAGAATTAAAATATATAAAATATATAATTAGTTTCCAGAACTAGTGAATAATGACATTTAATTAATCAGCATGTCTTTTACACTCATGATCATCATCTATAAACTTACACTATAATTCAAAATAAATTTGACATGGATTGCATTCTAGACTATGTAATCATTGTATTTTATATCATAAATTATATTTTTAAGTTAATAGTAAATCACTGTAGAACAGAACTAGACTTTTATTAACAGGGAGAAAATTTGTCCAGAAAATTGTTCAGTTTTTCAAAATTATATACATATTCCTAAATTAGGTTTCATATGCAGGTAGGAATGACAAAAATAAAGAGGCAGTTAACAGAATGGAAACTTTCTAGACTCATGTTGGCTCAAACAGTGCACAGACACACACAGGGAATACAGGATGCTTTCTAGGTTTTAATTATATATCAACAACTAATGCCTGTGATGGCTGAAGTTCAGAAGCCTGCAGCTGCAGAAGGTAACATTTTATAAGCTATAACTTGTTATCCACCCAATATTAAGGCATAATTTCAATTTTAGATGTTACTTACCTGTGCTGGTGGAGACTGTAAAGGATTATTCTCAAGCAGCAGGACTTGTAACTGCACCATTTTTCTAAAACAAATTGGAATCACAAGCACTTTGTTGCAGGAAAAGTCAAATTTTACCAAGGGAAGCTGTACTAGTTCTAAAAGGGACAAAAAAGAGAGGTGGTGTCATATATGTATTTATTTTTGCCATAAAGCAATAAAATATTACTGAATAAACCTCCTTTTGCATTCAGGAAAAATATTCAGGCAGAACTAAGATCAACTTTTACTCCATTCCATACTGGGAAACGAAGAGAGTGTTGTAGTTATACAAGTGACAACAAATTTTAGAAATAAACACTTTGAAACATTTTTTTTTCCCCCCTGAACCTCAGCTGACACATTCACTTGTGCAACATAAAAGATGCCTGGAACCAGAACAATAATTAATTAAAAAACCCTCACAGATTGTTATTCAGCAAGTACCACTGAATGTTATATTCTGCAAATTCAACTGAAGAAATTTGAACACAAATTAATTCATACTTTTAAATCATATTTACTTATAGGATTAATACTTTGAAAATGCAAATTGAATAAGCTACCTTTAAAGAATTAGGATTTTTTTTTTTAATGACTTTTTCTTTTTACCTTGGGGTAAAACTTCGAGGTAATTTCTTCTGACATTGAGTTCTTTTAAAGATTTCAGCTGGCCTATCTGCTGTGGCAAAGCTGTGATCTCATTACAGCTGACATCCTACAGCAAAACAGCAGGAACAGAAATAATGAACTTTTTGGCTCCTAAATGTTAAATATTACAGATGTGAAATTGTAGCTGATTCATTTTATTAACCTCATAACATGCAACTATGTCTTGTCTTCAGAATTTGTCTTAAAGGTCTCTTCCAAACTAAAGGATTCTGTGATTCTATAATGCAAAACTAGATAGATGAGAAAATGTTTACACATCACTTAAAACTCAGAGCAAACTGTTACTTGGAGAACAAGTTTATTTAATCTCTATATAAACATTGAAAACCATTTCCTGAAGATGTTCTCCCTTTTTGTTCTTAACTTTTATTCATATGAAAAACTCATTACTATGAATATATAAACAAAACTGTTTGGATTAAATGTAAAACTGCAAGTGTGTGGAACTGAAGTTTAAAAAGCTTCTTGTTATTTTGGAGGGGATATTTAAGCAAAGATAAAAATAAACCTTTAAAAAAGAGAAAAGAGCAATAGCTCTCTGCCATGATGCTCAGGAAGGGCATATTTTTCATATCACATCATATGGTAGGTCATAATAAAATAAGTCTTGTTTATTATTATACAGTTATTCAACATATTACTGTAAAAGGTATTTCTTGACTGCCTAGACAGGTTCTTATTTTGATGACTAAATTTGACTGGTTTAATAATCTGGATTAAATTGGAACCCACCCTCATTTCAGCATTCCTAAAGGACTAACTGCTGCTGTAAAGCTGAGTTGAAAGTACAGGGTCTGGCTAGTCTGAGCATAATTTCAAGTAATCAATTTATATAGAGTACTATCACTGTAATAGATATAGTTTAACACTACTGCTAGCAAGAAACTGCTACAAATGTCTACTAGAGGATCAACTTCTTGGATTAAATCAGTCTAAAATGAGATAGCAGCTATCATGTTTGCTGCCAAATGGTCTAGACTCAACATGAAATCAAAAGGGTATTGAAACCTTTGCTTACATCCCAGGCAACCTGTAAATTTGAGTGAGTCCTGATTATGCTTCCATTTCTGGATTTAAAAAAGTACTTAATATCTTTTAATTAAAACTAATGAAGAAAAACAGTTAAGAAATAAATGCTAGTAAAAGCAAAATGTGATCTGGCAACAGTGCTTACTGTACCAGACAAGTTTCTTCTCCTAACAGAACCTCACTGCTGCCAAAGCTTCCTTCCCTTGTCAAACAGGAAACTATTTTAGCATTTAGACAAGGAAATTAAAAGCCCCAGTTAATGAGTGCAGCTTTTGCCCAAGTTGCCACACAGTATGGTTAATTGCACTGTTCCAGGGCAATTTATTCTTAAAGGTTTCCTGTCCTATTTTTAATTTACAGACTTTACACAACTTCATCAATAGATGCTCAATTTTTAGAGCACAGGATTTAAAGTCAGCTCGTGAGAGAGAAACTCTACAGCAACTTTTGTTTTTCATTACTTTGTTTGAATAACCATGGAAAACAAAGACTTTTAACATTATTTCTAGTTATACTTCAGCTGATGATTACTATAAGACTCCCTGAGTGTGTATGTGATGAGAGAGTGTTTATCTTCCCCATCACTTCAGCAGCAATACTATCAAATAAATATGGTTTTCAAGCTAATAACTTTTAAAGGAACTATGCAGCCAGCAGTTTGGAACATCACTTCATGGACCTCTTGTCTTCCCTGCCCAGTTACTTTGCTTTGATGGAAAGTAAGTTTCAGATTATCATCACAAGCATTTTGCACTCATCCTCCTGGCTGACAGTAGAAGTATGATTGAATTATGCAGTGGCAAATAAAAGTCAGTTTCCCAATCTAATTTTTCAA